GGTTGAATGACCTCTGGTGGTTCTTTTTGAGAGCCCTCCCTCTTCGGATCTGAAAATCCTAGGGTTGCGATCCTCTGCGTAACGGCCCCAAGTCCTGGGGCCTGGGAGGTTTGGGCCTCGGGGTCTGCACTCAGCCCCAAGCCCTGAAGCCTCAGCCTTTTCTACTTCTAGTAGAATGGGGCCCTAGAAACCCTATTCTAATTATTTAGGGCCCCTATATCTATATTTATAGTATAATGGGGCCTAAACACTTTATTCTACAATTATTAAGGCCCCTATATTAGGGGGCCTGTAGAGACTGTCCGCCGCCAGGAGCTCCGCAGCGCGGCCAGAGAGGAAAGGGCCAGGGGAACACCGGGCTTGAAAGGTGGGATGAAGGTGGGAATAGGGTTTTGGGGCCCATGGTGCTATATTTATAGTAAGGAACCGCAAAAATAGTATAGGTAATGATTAAGGCCTTTTTTGTTAGGTTGGGTAATCCCAAAATCAGAGTCCTTCCTTCAGTACAAGGGATCCGTAATCCTGCCTACCTTCATCCTACGTTTTGAGGCCCCCAAGAAAAGGGCGGGGTGCACCTAAACCTTGAACACTGAATCCAAGACGCAGTGAGGGGTTTTGACTTCGACCCTAAGCCAAGTTGTGCAGGGTTGAGGGTTTCGGGTTTAGGGGTTTAGGGTTTTAGGGGTTTAGGGTTTAGGGTTTAGGGTTTAGGGTTCAAGGTTTAGGGGTTTTAGGGTCTACGGTTTGGGGGTTTAGGGGTTTTAGGGTGAGCTTCGAGCTTTCCGGACAAGCACTATCCGACCCCGGGCGGTCGGCTTGCAGCCTCCAGGCCCTGAAACCCAAGACGATAAGCATTGGAAACCCTGAGCCCCAAGCTGTAAGCCCAGGCTTTTAGGGCGTATGTAGTAGTGGTACAACAGTACTACAATATTGATGCTACGGTAATACTACATTATCACGGCTTTTAAATGAAAGCAGGCCCCAATGTTTAGGGGAAGATGTCCCTGCGAACCCGTCAGCGCTCCTCTTCTAATTCTATCTGCTCCTCAACCCTATAACTAAGAACGAAACCCCTAAACTTTAGGGTTTAGGGTTTAGGGTTTAGGGGCCCTAAACCCTAAACCCAAGCCCACAAGCTTACACACCCCAAGCCCCAAAGCCAACCTGAAGCTTCGACTCGAAGCCTTGCGAGTCGCTAACCCAGGCCAAAAAAGCCAAAACCCTTAGCTTAGCCCCAACAACGCACAACCTTAAACGGAGAAATAAAGGGGCCTACATGATTACCAATACGATTTTGGGGGTTCCTTTATCATACCCCAAAACCCTAAACCCTAAACCCTAAACCCTAAACCCTAGACCCTAAACCCTAAACCCTATTCAAGGCCCTATTCTAAGGTTTGAAGGCTCCTGCAGTAGGGCTTGCGGATTCTACAGTAGGGTTTAGGGTTTAGGGTTTAGGGTTTAATTTTCCCTGGCATTGGATGGCAGCTTGGCAGCCTTGGACCAGGAGTTGCTCCAACCACCGCGCAGCACTCCTCGCGCGGCAGCGGAATCTACGGAGGAGGTGCACCGGTTTAGGGTTTAGGGTTTAGGGTTTAGGTTTTAGGGTTTTAGGGTTTAGGGTTAAGGGTTTAGGGCAAGCAAATCCCCAGAAAGAAAAAAAACCCTAAAGCCCACGCGAAAACACCCACTTAAATCCCCCAAAACCCCAACCAAGCACCCTAAACCCTAAAACACTCAACCCGAAGCCTGCCAGAACCTCCAACCTAAAACCCCAAAAGCCCTTGACCCCTAAACCCTAAACCCTAAACCCTAAAACCCCAAAAGCCCTTGACTCCAAACCTCCAATCTGTCACTTTTTCAGGTAGAATCCTGGCTCTCCTTCGTGCGAATCGGCAGCGCACCCGAGATGGCTGAGCCAGGCATTGAGGGTTTAGGGTTTAGGGTTTAGGGTTTAGGGTTTAGGGCTTAGGGTTTAGGGTTTAGGGTTTAGGGCTTAGAGTTTGGAGCTTGGAGCTTCAAGGGTTTTGGGCTTAGGGCTTCAGAGCTGAGATTAGGGTTTCCCTTAACCCCAAGCCCTACAGCCCTAAAGCCCTACAGCCCTAAAGCCCTAAGCCCTAAATCCCTAAAGCCCTAAACCCTAAACATCCCTAAACCCTAAACCCTAAACCGTAAACCCCTAAACCCCAAAGCCCCTAAACCAGCCAGGCCTCGGGCGCAGCCCAATGCGGTCAGTGCGGAAGGCCATCACGGTGACAGCGGCTGAGGCCCAGGTACTAAGGTAGTATTAGGGTTTAGGGTTTAGCCCTCAGGCTTTAGGGTTTAGGGTTTAGGCTTTAGGCTTTAGGCTTTAGGGTTTAGGGTTTAGGGTTTAGGGTTTAGGGTTTAGGGTACAGGGTTTAGGGTTTAGGGTCAAGTCCCAGGTAGTATTAGGGAGGGGACCCTTCCTGACCGTACTTGTGGGTCTCTTAAAAGGGACCTCATTGACAGGGTCTATATCCCCAAGGGTCCCCTAGTCTTAACTCTGACCAATCCGCTGACAGGGGGTTTTGATGGTTTTGCGAGGGTTTTGCTTTCATGGTCGCTGGGGCCCAGGGTTTCAGGGTCCTTTTAGTCAGGATCTGATTGAGCTGAGGGTTAAAGTGTGGCCTGCGCAGGCCGCACGAGCTGTGGCAACGCCCACCGCGAAGCCGGTGGCAATGCCCGTGGCAGCGCCTGTGTCCATACGACGGCAGGTGGTCGTTAACCAGCTGCCTCAAAAGTTCATGCCCTACCCTTGCACGGCCGGCAGTGGCCAGGCGACTTGTCTCTTTGAGCCATCACTTTTAGGTGACTACGCTGTACATTGCATCTACTCAGCATCCCGCCTCAACCCGACCCCCTTAGGCTGTGCTTCGGGCTCATGTGTCGGGCAGTGGCATCAAGTCGGTGCGCGTCAGCCGTGCGGGGCTGCAACCGTCCAGTGGTCAACCTGCCGTGGTTGTGCGTCACCTACCAGTGGCCCGAGTTCTAGCGCCAACATCAGGCTACAGCGCGCTGGCTCAGAATCAGAGTGCTGACACAGCGGGCAGTTCTGCGAGTGCTTTAATATAGGGGTTGGGATATAGTCACAGTATACGATAACCGATAATCTACTTGTACCCCCAGGCCCAAAACCTTTTTCGAGTCTTGTAAGTCTTCTCATTATTAAGGCCCTTCTTTCACAGGTCACTCTGGTGTGTGGACGACCCTACAGCGGCCGCTTGTGCCAACAGCATCGGCCTCCTTTGGCACTCCGCGCCTCGGCCGCAGAGCCCCACTTCCATAAGCTATAGCAGCATTGTAGAAGTATTGCAGTAGTCTTGTAGTAGTATTGTAGTAGTACGGCGGTATTTTTGTACTACTGTAGTAGTAGAATTGCATCATTGCATGATGATGGCATGATGGTGGCATCATCATAGTCTTGCCATGGTAGTATTCTGGTCTCACTACGGCATGATTATATATTGCCATTATGGTATTTAAGGGGTTACTGTGGCAGTAGTACTGGTATTATTTGTCTTCTTATTTGGGTCTTAATTATCATGCCCACTTTAGATCTGGCACGGCTGCCCCATCGCCGATGTAGGCACGGCCTCAGTGTCCTTCCACAACGGAAACACCCTCAAATCCTAAAGCAATCCTAAAGCCTCAACGCAAGCCTTGAAGCCCTAAGCCGTAACAGCCCGTAAGCCCCAGAGCACCTAGACCAAGTTATCTGCCTCCCTTTGTTTTACCGAGGACTCCCGTGCTGCATCGCATTGCAATCCCGCCCGCATCGATTGCGTTACAGCGGACCAGCACCCGGTGAGCCAGGAAGCTTGCTGCAGCCTCGAACCACCGAGGATGTTAGGATAGAGCAATCATTGTGCAGTAGTCATAATAACAGTGATAATAGCAGCAGTTGCAAACTTGATGAGGGCATTCTTCTTCTGATGACTACTGTATAGCCTGGGGAAGAAATGACGAGAGTAGGTGAGGGTGACGATGAGTAGCAGTATGACCATTCGCCTTGCTACCCTCAGAATTGGTAGATGCGTATATTTGCATGCAATGTCCCCTCGTCTTCGTGTCTATATGACTACAGGGCCTAGAAAGTCATCCCACAACCTCGTCTAAATAAGGGCCTTACATGATCTATAAGATAGGGAGGGGCCTGAATTATTCGAATATTATACAACAATTATAACAAGGAGCCCCCAAAAACCTGTTCGAACTGTTAAGGCCCCTACATTACAGGGCATGGGCTTGGGTTATTGGGCTTCAAACCCTAAACCCTAAACCCTAAACCCTAGGCCATAAAGCCTTCTGGTTTAGGGTTTCTTTTTGGAGCATCGACAAAAGCCGATGAACTCCTGACGTCTCCCGGGACACCCGCAGCCAGGACCTCGAAACGAAGCCCTGCCTTGGCTGTAGGGGCTTTTTGGAGCTCCTTGAAGGGCTAGGGTTTAGGGTTTAGGGTTTAGGGTTTAGGGTTTAGGGTCTATAGGGGTTTGCGGGGCTCCTTGAAGGGCTACTTTAACCTTTGAGGGTCGCCATACGGGCCGCTAGAAGGGTTCCTGTACGTGTCAGAAGACCCGAAACCCGAAACTACTAGAGGTGTTACTAGAGGTGGTTGTAAGGCGGCTTAGGGCTTCTTCGCTTTTGCGAGGCCTGTTTGGGGGTCAGGGAGCAGGGTTTGGATCTGTCAGGGCTCCAGCTCGGAGTTGAGAGTTTGGAGTTTAGGGTTCGGGGTTGGGAATTTGGGGTGTAGGGTTTGGGGCTTCAGTAGTTTTCGGATTGGGTTTCGGAATCTAGGTTCGGATTTAAGGTACCTGTTTTTGAGTCCAGCTCGGACTAAACCCTAAACCCTAAACCCTAAACCCTAAACACTAAACCCTAAACCCTAAACCCTAAACCCTGGCCCTAAACCCTAAACCCGAAACCCTAAACCCTAAACCCTAAACCCTAACACCCTGTCCTGACAGCTCGGACTGGCGCAGGTAGAGAAGCTCGGAGGCAAAGCGCACTTCTGCTTCACGCCGGGAGCCTCAGAGGGCAGTGGAAGAAATTAGGGTTTAGGGTTTAGGGTTTAGGGTTTAGGGTTTAGGGCTTAGGGTTTAGGGCTTCGGGTTTAGGGTTTAGGGCTTAGGGTTTAGGGTTTAGGGTTTAGGGTAAGCCGAAGTTGCCCCAAAAGCTCGCAGATACCTGTTCAGGACTCTAGACCCTCTACGCCCAGACATGAAGGTCGGCTTTTCCCCTTCAACTCCTCAAAAATCCCCTTCAAATCTTAGGATTCCTGATTTTTACTATACTTCAATACACCCCAAAAAGTGCCCAACAGCCTCTAAGTCTTAAGGGTTTAGGGTTTAGGGTTTAGGATGGCCCCTGCGTTAGGGGAAGCCGAGGCCTGTCATCAGCGACGGCCAGAGCCAGGGATGCAAGGCGATGAGATACTCCCTGATCAGCCGGGAGGCGCCGATACTCCAGGGAGTCAGAGTTGAGCCTTTAGGGGTTCAGGGGTTTGGAGCTTTAGGGCTTCAGGGCTTTAGGGTTTTAGGGTTTTTAGGGTTTAGGGTTTAGGGTTATCAGCCGCTAGGCCGATACGTGAACCCTGAAAGGGTCCTGGAAGGGGCTCCTGAAAGCAAGGGAGCGCTAAGGAACCTCCCCAGAGAACCCAATACACCTTAATTAAGGAATATACCTCAAATTATAGGGGTCTTAATATTATGATTTAAGGTATATTCCATAATTAAGGGGTATTGGGTTCTCTGGGCTTGAAAGGAAGCCTTAAGGCAGACAGGTAGGGGGGGCTTGAGTGCCTTTTGTCTTGGTGTTAAGGGGTTTCGGCTGCGCTGGGTCTCGGATGTATTTTAGGGTTGAGGCTTCAGAGTTTAAGGTAGGATGTGGCATTTCAAGCTTTAGGTCTTAAGGTTTGGGTGGGAGTGGAGGCGGTGCGCTGGAGGTCATAACAGATTGCATCGAGCTGATGCACGAGGGCTACCATGCTGACGCCATCATCACCCTGGCCGGCTGCGACAAGTGCTGCTCTGAGTAACACTGGGAACCCAGCCCCCCTGAGCTTTCATTTAGGGTTTAGGGTTTAGGGTTTAGGGTTTAGGGTTTAGGGTTTAGGGTTTTCAACCCTCCTTGGGCCCAGGAGTGTCCCCGCATCCGTCATGCCACTCGCGCGGAAGGACGCAGGGGGGGAAAGAAATACTTAGATTGGAAAGGCGTGAAACCAAGGCTAGTGGAAAGAAGTCAGCCCTGAACTCAACAGCCTAAAACGTGTCCTGCTTCTTTCGAAAACAGTTTGTCAGAGCTGTTAAAAAGTGCACGGATTGGACAAGAGAGGAGTTTGTTTGGGAAGTCGCTTCTCAAGCCACCCTCGCAGTCTTATCGTGTGTGTCCGATCGTTTCATAGACGATGGCGGAAGCCATTGTTGTTTCTGACGCTATCACTCGTACCACAGTTTCTAACCATATCGTCACTGGATATTTCGGGAGTTACGGTCATTATGAACATTCTTGCCAGTGCTGTGTTGATGCCCGTAATCTCCTCGTGTACAGTGGGCTCTAGTGGAGCTAGGGTACGGGAACCTTGTCTGGTGCTTGCAGACGGATCCCTTATAGGCCGAGATCGGCAGAAGCCAGCAATTCAGGCTGTAGGCCATGATTGGCAGAAGCCAAGCATAGCCCAGCTTAAGGCCAGAATCGGCTAGAAAAAACAGCAGTGACCTTTGAAGTAGATGTGCGCAGAAGCTCTACGACATGTCACTCGGCCGGTGTGTGTGTGTGTGTGTGTGTATGTGTGCAAACGCTAGCGTGCCGCATGGTTCCACAACCTCCCTGTCGGTTTGAACAACCACGTTTGTCTTTCAGAAGAAGGATGGCCCGAGGGCCGAACGATGATGTGGCTCTACTCAGTTCTCCCAACATACTGCCACTCGTCCCACCACCACCACCACCGCCACCACCACCACCACCACCACCACCACCACCACCACCACCACCACTTACGACGGCGACGACGACGACAACTGTCACTGTCACTGTTTTTGTGTCTCTGTTTCAAGTTTGCACTGGTATGGTAGGAGTACTGTTTCCTGCTGCTCCTGCTATTGTTGCTCAGTACGCCCTCTCCGACCACCAACCCGGAAGCCCCCAACCCCTAAACCTCTAGACACTCAAACCCTCCGCACTATACCCCGAATAAGTTCCTGTAGCATAACTTCGATACAGCCTTCCGTACACGCTTTAAGACATCCACAGGCCCTCGTAACATCCCACAGCCCCAACTCCAGCCTAGGGTGACGCAACCCCTGTAGTAACGCAAAACCAAAATCCATCAAAGCCCTAAGCCCTACCTGAGCTAAGGCCCTTCGTCATATCTTAGTAAGAATACTGTAAAAATGACAAGATAGTACTCCGAATACTCATAAGTCGTAGTATGAAGATCCTGTTTATAGTAACCTTTATACGAACCCCTTCTCCGAACCCGATTTCGCTTCAGGACCTTCTCGGCTTGTCGCTCTTCGGAGGGCCCGCGCTGCTGTCGCCTCAGTGCCGGGCGCAGACTTTGAGGGGTTTAGGGTTTAGGGTTTCGGGTTTAGGGTTTAGGTTTTGCTTCTTTAGGGGCTCTTTAGGGGCTTTCGGGTTTTAAAGTGTCTAGGGACATTACGACTCTAGTGCTTTGGGCGATTTTTAGGCACTGTGGCTTTATGGTTTCGTGGTTTAGGGCTTCTGGGTTGAAAGTGTGGCCCGGTTTCTGCCGAGGCCGGGCATCCACCCGGGGAGCTGCCGGAAGCGCGGCTCCGATGGCGAAGCGCGCCTGTTTTGGGGTTTAGGAGTTTAGGGATCTTGGGTTTAGGGTGTAAGGTTTCAGAAAAGGTTTAGGATTTAGGGTGCAAGATTTAGGGTTTAGGCTTTTAGGATTTAGCGTTTAATTAGGATTTAGGATTTAGGGTGTAGGGTTTAGGATTTAGGGTTTAGGGTTGAGGAGGTTTAGGGCTTCAGGGGTTGGGGCAAGGGCTTCTATTAACGGGACCCTCCAAGGGTTCTAAAGAGGATTCGTCTGAGGTTTCTGTTCAGCTTGCTTTGAAGGGTTCTATGGGCACTTTTAAGGGCGGTTCCTCTACGTTTAAGGCTTGTATCACGCAAGGGTTGATTTGAGTTCATTTTCCTATAATTCTGGGACCATCAAGGGGCAGTGCTATTAATTCTGGAGACCTTTACTCAGTACGGGGGTTTCAGAAAACTCGAGTACCTTATCTGGGGGTCCTTGCACTAAGGATCCGCCAGTTTAGGGTTTGTAACAAGTCCCCTTATTTCTCTTTCCGCAGGGCTGTTGAGTTTCAATGTCGGGTCGGTCGCAGATGCAGACTTTTGCTATCATTCGTAGTACTTTTTCACTATCGCTTGGGTTGTGATAGTCTCTTCTTGATCGTCGTCGTTATCAGTCAACTCAGTCTCTGGGCAGTACCATTCGGGATCCTGTCTGTTTGCCAAGCGATTACTGAGGCATTGATTGTGTGTGCGTGGCCCCACTAACTAGCATCTTGCTCTGCTAGCAGCTGCGTAGTGAACGGAGGTCTTCTGGGTTCTTGTTAAGGGATTTAATTTAAGTTACCATAATAAGGAAACCATATTATTTACTATAGATCCCTATTATGGTAACTTAAATTAAATCCCTTAACAAGAGCCCAGTCTTTTTTTCCACTTTCTTCTCAAAACGTGGAGGCCGTGGAGACTCCGGGCAAGATGATGGACCCGGGGAAGGCTCATTCAGCGGCCTGCGCGCAGCTGTAGCTGATTGCACGCAAGGCCTAATTAGGCCTAGAGATGACCATAAATCCCAGAGAGCGTTTGGAAAAAGCCAAAGAAACCTTAAACCCTAAACCCCCAAACCGGACACGATACGGTGGGAAAAAGGCCCTCAACAAAAGAAACCCCAAACCGTAGGTACCTGAACCCTGGATTCGATCACACCCAGAGAGGCAAGACCAGGAGCTGACGGCGCATCTAGATCTGAACCCCGGCGTGCAAACCCTAAACCCTAAACCCTAAACCCTAAACCCTAAACCCTAAACCCAAAACCCTAAACCCTGAAGCCTTAAACCTCACGCAACCCAAAGCCTAAGACGTCTAAGACCCTAAGACCCAGAGACCCTAACGACACAGGGAAGCGCAATTGCCAAACTGCCGAAATCCTAAGCTACTGAACCCCTTCAATCCCAAGCCCTCTGAGCTTTAGCACCGTTCTCTAGGCTGGGGTCTTCTGGTTGATGTTTTCGCTGTACCCAGAGACTCCAATATCCCTTAATTAAGGAATATACCTTAAATCATATTAGGGATCCTATTATGATTTAAGGTATATTCCTTAATTAAGGGATATTGGAGTCTCTGCCCTGAAA